AGAAATCTAAATGTATCTTTCCTGGTAAAATATTTTATGAATAAATAAATAAATGTATCATAGTACCAGGTTCACATACAAATCAGGATTCCCCCAAATGTAGATAGATACCCAATAATATGTTAGCATAATCTGGTGTAAACCTGGATCCAATGGTGACCGTGACCTGAAAAAAATAACCATTCTCAAACATAAAATCGTGATGTTAAATATAAGAAATATAAACGTCTAAAAGAAAAAAAGTCTAAATGTGTCTGCCATCTTGGGAATGCTTGACAGATATTTATTTACTGCATTTAAATCTTTTGTGTGATCATAATGAACAGGTCACATGAAAGGAAACACCAAAAGACAAAAAAGATTTCAGACTTAATGGGTGTTACCACCCCTTAGGTCTTCTATCTTTAAGAGTACAGCGCTGTATAATATGTGAAAACACAGTGAATTACCTGTGATTCTAAGACAATTATCCTTGATATTCTCCAATGTAATATACATACAAAAGAAAACAAAAATATATACAGATAATTGTGCAGTATATCTAATACTTTGGTAAAGAGTTTAGTGAGTAACAGATATATCTACACTCACATTTTTTAGAGCCTTTTCAAGTAAATTAGGCTCTAAACTTCCGTGCGTCTGTGTCTTTAAGGGTAGATCACACGACCCCTCTCTCCAGGTTAAGTGTGTATTTTCCTCTCCCCAACGTATATAAAAGACACAGAATTATCCAACTAAGTGTAGCATCCTTTGTAATATTTTCATACACTTAAATAATAAATTAAAGTGCTCACCTTATTTAGAGCCTTTTGGTAACTGGCTCTAAGTATATAGGCCTAGTGTCAATTTGTGGGGTGACACTGCCCCTTCCCTGGAATCACTGGTACTGGATACAGTGGATTGTTTAAAATGAAGAAAATTTATTACAGAGTATATAGAATCAATATAAAAATTTCTAGAAAATAAAAAATAATAAATAAATAAGAACAAAGTATTGCAAGTATTTAGTGGTTTAGGAAAAATGATGAGTCCACTTTAAAAGCCAAAACGCGTTTCGCCGGTAAAAACGGCTTCCTCAGTCAGCTTGTGGGTTTCCTCTGGGTGTCCTCTGTTTTGAGCGTTCAAAATCCCGCCGAAAAAGTCGTCCTCCAATCGTGTGAGTCCTTGCGTCACGTGATGCGGCTAAAAAGCCGTTGCGTCACTTCCGGGTTTTCGGCACTACAGAGTCCATAGTGCTTTGCGCTCAGCGCGGCACTTCCGGTTTTCGTCCGGTCTGTCACAGGGGACTTAGTCCGCAATGGGAGGATTAATCAGTCTATATTTGAGCCTCCTTAGGCTCATACACAGTTTAGAATAGAATAAAAAGACATACATAATTAAAGGTTGTAATGTGCTGTTCTTTTTACACATTGTATATGAACAAGCAAATATATTTAAGCTTATTAATTCCTTTATATACAGTTATGTGCAAAGCATGCAAGTCTTGAAAATAAACAGAGAATAAGAAGGGAAAGTGACTTGTGTTTTAAAAGTGCATTATGATGAAACTCTATTTATATAAACATATGATTTCAACTGCTATTTTTTCTTATTATCAAAAACATATAGAATTCATATGAAATGAGTGCACTTGCTTGTATGTTATTTAGAGTAGTAATAACTCATTTATAAAAACATGCAGAATAGCAGACCCAGTAAAAAGCAGTGTATTTTATAAAAAGTGACATAACTCAAAGTCAGCATTTAACCCCATAGGTGCTAGAGTATTGAGATTAAAGATCCATTTTGTTTCGATTTTTCCCAATTTTTTAATTTCATCTTCCCCTCTCCAGTTGAGTGTAATTTTCTGGATGGCCATAAAATCTAGAAATTGTGTGTCTTTATTATGCACTAGGCTAAAATGTTCTGAAACACTGTGTTTGTCGTATCCTTTTCTGATGTTTCTAATGTGTTCATTTATTCGTGTTTGTAGGGGGCGTTTCGTTCTACCAACATAGAATAAATTACAAGAACACTTTAAAACGTATATAACCCTCTTGGAAAAACATGTGATCATTTGGCGTATCTTGTATTTCTTCTCCCCTTTTGGGTCATAGAATTCTGTAATGTGCCTTTTTGTGCTTTTTGTGCTTCTACAAGCTAGACACTGTCCACAACCAAAAAAACCTTCTTTCTGAAAGAAGGGGGTGGGTATATTTTCTTTAATATGATTATGTGTCAATTTTTGTTTTAGGTTAGGAGCTCCTCTATATACTAATTTCGGTCTCTCTGGTAATATAGAGTGCAGCATAGGATCGTTCCTTAGCATAGGCCAATGTTTGTTTATTATTTGTTTAATTTTATGGCTTTCTTGATTAAAATTACAAATAAATGGCAAATTCCTATGCTGCACTCTATATTACCAGAGAGACCGAAATTAGTATATAGAGGAGCTCCTAACCTAAAACAAAAATTGACACATAATCATATTAAAGAAAATATACCCACCCCCTTCTTTCAGAAAGAAGGTTTTTTTGGTTGTGGACAGTGTCTAGCTTGTAGAAGCACAAAAAGCACACTTTGTTCTTATTTATTTTTTATTTTCTAGAAATTTTTATATTGATTCTATATACTCTGTAATAAATTTTCTTCATTTTAAACAATCCACTGTATCCAGTACCAGTGATTCCAGGGAAGGGGCAGTGTCACCCCACAAATTGACACTAGGCCTATATACTTAGAGCCAGTTACCAAAAGGCTCTAAATAAGGTGAGCACTTTAATTTATTATTTAAGTGTATGAAAATATTACAAAGGATGCTACACTTAGTTGGATAATTCTGTGTCTTTTATATACGTTGGGGAGAGGAAAATACACACTTAACCTGGAGAGAGGGGTCGTGTGATCTACCCTTAAAGACACAGACGCACGGAAGTTTAGAGCCTAATTTACTTGAAAAGGCTCTAAAAAATGTGAGTGTAGATATATCTGTTACTCACTAAACTCTTTACCAAAGTATTAGATATACTGCACAATTATCTGTATATATTCTTGTTTTCTTTTGTATGTATATTACATTGGAGAATATCAAGGATAATTGTCTTAGAATCACAGGTAATTCACTGTGTTTTCACATATTATACAGCGCTGCACTCTTAAAGATAGAAGACCTAAGGGGTGGTAACACCCATTAAGTCTGAAATCTTTTTTGTCTTTTGGTGTTTATCTTTGTATGGTGGGTTTTTAGGAGTACCCATAGAGTGTATACAGCAGCTATACTACACTGTTCATATTTACCACTCAGCGCCACATATTCCACACCTATTGTTAATATATTTAATCACATGAAAGGAAGCCTATATAAAAGTGACTTGTGAATCTTATAATGAAATGCCTTGCAGAATATGACTTGTGTCTGTAATGTATTAATTAGCCTGTTGTGTATATTGTTGTAAATAATAGTAAATATATTCCCAAAGGTTTGCTTTAATTATTAAGTGTTCTTGCATAGCAAGACCACTTATTGTTATCTCACATATATATTATTATTCTTATTATAGCCAAATTTGCCACCCTAACTCCTCCGACAGTTTTTACACTACATAGACAAATATTTACCAAATCGTGCAGATTGTTCCCGATCGGATTGCTATTACTTTGTGGAACGTTTCGCCGAATGGTTCACGGAATATCGTCGTTTTTGTGGCGCAATTTGTCCCATAGGAATGAATGGCAAAGCTAGAGTGGGAGCTGGCAAAAGCTGAAAAATCAGGACATGATTTCTAAACTGCCACCACTCCCTTATTTTCAGGCCCACCTACACAAATCTTATATCAAAGCGTTCAGCTATCCCTGCTGCCACTAAACATGTCAACGGCTAAGCCGTAGTCCTGATAGTTTTCACAATATGACCATTTGTTTGCAACCAACGCCGTCCATTGACATTCATTGAAACTTCACTCTGCAAAGCTCAAATTTGAAGTGCAATTTCTAAACTGCGACTCTGCCTTCATTTTTAATACTTTAGAGACATACTATGCATCAAAATGTAGGTCTGGGTCTTGTGATTCTCACAATATAAAGCTCTTCACTGTAGGAGTTATAGTTTTTAAGATACGACTGTTTGAAGATGGCAACCGCCAAAATACTCTGACCTGTCAAGGCTGCAGCAGCAAGTGATATCATAGACAGGGCCTTTTGAACACCTGCTAATGTTTTTATAAATGTATGGTTTAATGTAACTGTGCAACAACGTTGCAATTAAATGTGCTATATAAATGATAACAGTTACTCCGCCCACTCCAGTTGTAGACTACTGGTGGAGGCAAGAACACTTCACACAATTTCCCCAGAAATTGTAGCTTTTCTAGTTATTATTATTATTATGATATTTATAGAGCGCTGTCAAATTCCGCAGCGCTTTACTTAAATTGATCCCACTTGTTATGGGTCTTTTTTTAAAGGTTTTTATGCAATTTGGACAAAATCAGTGTGGTAGGAAAAGGATTAAATTAAAACTCATAGTTATCCCATGTTGATAGCAGAGATGCAGGAGGGCAAGAAAAGCTGCCCCCAAAAGTCCCTGCAGACCTTCGGGCCCAGATTTGTAGCGTAGCACTCATCCATATTTCAGCCATTCAGCAGTGTTTGGTCAGGCTGAAATTCAGTTTCCCCCAGGAACACTAAGGAAGGGGGAGCATGACTGCTGCCCAAGAGTGTGGGCTGGGTCAAGAAAGTTACAATTGTAGCAAAGTTGGGGTTCTTAAGGAAAGGGAGAGGCAGGGGACTTACCAGTCGGCAGGATCAGTTGAGGGTTCCTGACCGTTTTCCTGGCTGACTGTCCCCTGTAATATAAACATTACAAAACATTACCAATTTATTTATCTGCCTAACTGTGATCCCTTCCATGTTCCTGCATATTTCTGTTGGTCATTGCTACCCCTGTAGCTGAATTGCAGAGGCTTCTGCAATCTTACCTGGAGGTCCACGGACAAGAAGCCCTGGAGGAGCTGGTGTCGGGCATGAGGAGTGCCCCCCTGCTGAGATGTCCGATCAGCCTGCAGTCCCTGGCAGGCAAAGGGCCAGGAGTTCAAGGCCTCCGTTCAATCCCGGTTCAGCGCCATGAGAGGAGGCGAAGTGGCCGCTCGGCCGCGCACCCGGAACAGCCCTCGGTACCTGGGAGGCGGAGAATGCGGTCTGCGGAGGTCGGTGGCATCCAGGCCCAAGATGGTGGTGGCAGCAATGGCGGAGGTATGGCCGGGAGATCGCGCAGTCAGCGCTCTTCTCTTCCATTCCATCTGGAAGTGGTGTCATTGCACACACCACATGGCGTGTACACGTCGGAAGAAAACGTCAACACGCAAGGCACGTATGTGATGGCATTGCGCAGGAGAGCGTGGCCGTCACAGGCCTTGCGTTCCAGCATGGTTCCGGCAGTGAGTGAGCCGGCAGGCAGAAGAAAGACGTCCAGCGGCAGATTGCAGTAGGGCCAAGAGGCCGGCCGCGGGTCCCCCCCTACCTCTTCAGGGTTCAGCTCCAGTACAGAAGAGGAAGAAGCCCAGCATCCTCAGGCAGTGAGCGATGAGTGTTGCGCAAGCGCTTGGGTTGTGCTGGCTGGGGATAGGGAAGCAGGGGTAGTGGATTTATGGGGGAAGAGGTGCTGCGGTTGCTTAGGGTAGTTTTAGACAGGCTTCCAGGTGCGGGCTCCTGCTTGTCCCCGGCTCCTTGCGCTCTCCGGGCTCAGTCACAGGATCAGAATAGAGGTCAATTGAGTGTGCATGCGAGCTGTCCCCCCTGGGGATGCATATGGCTTTGGACGTGAAGGAGAAGATTATTAAGCGTGAATACGTGGATTTACTGTCCTTGGTCTCCCCGGACTGGGAGTCAGTGGATAGACCGCGTCGGGGGGACACGGTGGATGGCGAGAAAGGTAAGCAGCTGCCGTGGACGTTTGGGAACTGGCTTCAAAGGTTCTCAATTTATGCAAGCGTTCTGACGCGGGCCTTTCCTGAGAAGGCACCAGCGTTATTTGGGTACCTAGATCTTATTTGGGGTGCGTACAAGGTTTATGGGGGTCAATGTTGGTTCCGTTATGACCAACAATTTCAGAAGCTGGCGGTGTGTCCGGGCAATGACTTTGGGGTCCAGGATGGGAGCCTTTGGCTCTTGCTGATGACCCCCAGTCGTCCATCCCCCTTTCCTGGAGCAGCCGGCGCACTGTCCAGTGCGCCGGCTGGGCAGCGCAGAGGAGTCTGTTGGCTCTTCACTGAGAGCCATTGCAAGTGGTTTGGATCCTGTCGATTCAAGCACGAGTGCTACCCTGCGCTGCGGTGCTTTATGAAAGGCAAGCAAAACGGTAGACCCACTAGGGAGGATATCCCTAGAACGGAGGACGCCGGTGAGCGTGCTAAGGATGCGTCTGTGGCTCGACCGGTACCCCAAGCGTAAGGATGCGCAGGTGCTGCTGGAGGGGTTTTCCGTGGGGTTTTTGATTCAGTTTGTTCATTCAGATTCCCCGTCGTTGGCTGACAATCTGCGTTCGGTTGTGGGTAAGGGGGCGATTTTAGAGGGTAAGCTTAGGAAGGAAGTTCGTCTGGGTAGGATAGCCGGTCCGTTAGACTGGTTGCCATTTTACAATTTGCAGGTATCTCTCCTGGGGTTGGTTCCTAAGAAGGACCCGAGGTCTTTTCGTCTCATTCACCACCTGTCCTACCCTTCAGGCGGGTCGTGAATGATGACATTGACAAAGAGGAGTCACATGTTCGATATGCCTCCTTTGATCAGGCATTAGAGTTGGTTTGGGAGGCGGGGATGAGAGCCCAGTTGGCCAAGTCGGACATTGAGTCCGCCTTTCGGCTGCTCCCGGTCCACCTGGACTGTTTTCACTTGTTGGGTTGCTGGTTTCAGGGTTCCTTTTTCTTTGATATGTGTTTGTCAATGGGTTGCGCTATTTCTTGTTCTTATTTTGAAATGTTTGCGTCGTTTCTGGAATGGGTAATTGCTCGGGTTTTCGAACCTGTCGTCTCTTACGTACTATCTGGATGATTTTTTGTTTGTGGGCCCACAGGAGTCAGATAACTGCTTGGTGCTCTTGACTTCCTTTCGGGTGGTCGCTGAGGACTTTGGTGTCCCAATAGCAGAAGAGAAGACAGTAGGGCAGGTGGGGGTTTTGTCATATTTGGGTATTGAGGTGGACACGCAGAGCATGGTTTTCCGGTTGCCAGAGAAAAAACTGAATCACCTGCTCCGGTTGGTGGACTCTGTGAAAGGGGCTAAGAAAGTGCAGCTTCGGCAGTTATAGGTCCAGGCGCTACAAAGTAGAGCTCGTATATAGCTCCTCCAAATGTGAGTGGCTCTCCTACAGAGATTAATTGAATATCTTCCTACCTTGAACAAATTGTATTGCACTATTATTGTCTGTTCTCTCTCTGAGGTTTTCAACCAGCCGCTACGTATTACAGTTGTATGTACGTATAACTTTGGGCGCAGTATACTCTTTTCTCTTTTTTTGCTTTTGTAACACGAGGTCTGGGAATCCTCTTATTGTATACAGCAGCCCTTACTTACTTATTTATTGTGTCATAGAGAGCGCCTATTTCTCTTTGTTTCAGTGGGCTTCGGTGCCTACATTCAAGGGCGCTGGTGCGCGGAGGCATGGCCCCGCCACTGGCAAGAGACTGAGTTGGTGGGCAATTTGACGTTCCTGGAGCTCTTCCCCATTGTAGTGGCAGTGGAGCTATGGGGTGTAGAGTTGGTGAATCGGAAGGTAGTGGTGCACACGGACAACATGAGTGTGGTCCATGTGATCAACCGGCCGACGTCTGCGTCTCCCCCGGTGTTGGCGCTCCTCAGGCGCCTGGTCTTGCTTAGCTTATCGCATAATTTGTGGCTGGTTGCGCGTCATGTGCCTGGGAGCTGAACGTTATAGCTGACTCTCTTTCCCGGTTTCAGTGGGACCAATTTCGAGAGGCGGCTCCAGAGGCGGCGCGAACTGGAACCTCATGCCCGGCAGGCATATGGGACTTGGTTTCCGACATTTGAGTCGGTTGGTGAGGGGGTTGTTGTCGGAGGCATCGTGGAAGTCGTATTCTGCCAAATGGCAGAGGTGGAGGGATTTCTGCACTGCCAGGGGTGCTTCCTCGGACGAAGGTAGGTTGTCAGCGACGCTTGCCTTATTGGACTCGCACAGTGCGGAGGGTAAGTCAGCAGCGGTGGCCGAGAGACATTTGGCGGCCCTGTCGTTTCTTTTTCAGTGGTGTGGGTGGCAGGATGTTACCAAGGCGTTTTGCGTCTCGAGGGTTATGAGGGTCTGGAAGAAAGGCCGTAGGCCAGACTCTCGGCGCCCTATCTCCTACGAGATCTTGTGCAGACTCTTGGAATGTTTGCCCCAGGTTTGTGTCTCGGAATACGAGGTTTGACTGTTCCGGGCCCCGTTTGCCCTCTGCTTCTTTGCAGCCCTCCGGGTAGGGGAGCTCATGGCTCCAAGTACGTGGGCTATGGCTGCCATGCATGTCGAATGTCAAGGTTACGGTGGGTGACGTGATGTTGCTCATTCGCAGGTCCAAGACAGATCAGGTAGGAGCGGGCGCTCGGGTTTGGGTTAGTGCGACTGGTGGTCTGTTCTGTCCGGTGAGGTTACTTCGGGAGTTCCTGGGGGTCCGAGGGTCGGAGGTTGGGTCCTTGTTGCGGCATCGGGATGGGTCGTCCCTCAGCCGCTTTCAATTTGCCAGAGTACTTCGGGCTTGTGTTATAGGTGTTGGTCTGTCTCCGGGTTCCTATACTTCTCATTCATTTAGAATAGGGGCCGCTACGAAGGCAAGTCTGCTGGGCCTCCACGCAGAGGCGCTAAAGCGTTTGGGGCACTGGCAGTCGGTTCGCTTTCAGCTCTATGTGCGCCCCCACTTGCTATGTACGTCAGCAGTGCAGCTACGTTATCGGCTAAGGAGATAGGACACAGCCTTATTAACTGAAATCCCTGAACCCTAGCCCTGATAGCCATAGGCATCCTTGCAGAGCAAGTCTCCCCAGAGCCCAGCAGAGGTGGTGTAACCACATAACACATATATGGGTTGCCAGGAACTCTGAATATTTGAGCATTGTTGATGAGGATTTATTCCTTGTTTAGTATTTTGTTAGTAGAGTTAGTGATATCTGTGTATTTTGTAGGTTTTATCAACCACTGGATATGGAGAGGCATATATAGTGTTTCCCCTTCCACAATTTTCTTTAAATACAAACTTTAGCAACCAAAAAGTTGCCAAGGGTGGTATTAAATATCAAAACTTATGATGATTTCATAAGTAATTTTTTTTACTAGATCTGACTAGTAATGGCTCCTGATAAGGTTTTAGCCAAGTGTAGTTTGTCAAAACTCATGATGAAAGTGTTGGAAAGGAATTTGGGCAGAAAGTAAGTATAAGTGAACAAAAGCAGAAAGCTTTTTTGCTGCAAAATAATTAGCCACCGATCAAGAAAAATAAAATGCATAAATTAATTAGCAGTATCGAAACAGAGTAAGTTATATTGACCATTTTTCACTGAGGTAAAACCAGAAGCCTACGTTAAAGCCCTTCCCTTGCTCATTGTCCATGGGGACTTGGCATGAGCCTTCATGGCCAACACTCATCTTACATCGTCACTGATGACGTTGCGAGATCTTAAAATTGCACATAGGTGAATGAGTTGCGCATGCACAATGCGCTGTTAAGGAGTTCCTAGCAATAGGACACTCATCAGATAGATTAGTGTCCCTCTAAGAGGGCGAGTGGAAAACGCCAGGCAGAAGAAGCAACTAAATATTAGTAAAATTATTATTTACCTTTATTATACTCAATGTTAAACCGTTTGAACGCTAAAACCGGTGTATGTCCCTTTAAAAAAGTTAAATTCTTAAATAAATAACTAGTGCACCATATATCTGTCACCAGGCTTTGGGTGTTTGGGTTTAATGTGGAGAAATAAAATTATGCATGTTTAAGTATCAGTATAACAAAATAATAAATCATTGTGTAAAAATTAAAAAAACAAAATTGAAACTTCCCATACCGGGAGTCGAACCCGGGCCGCCTGGGTGAAAACCAGGAATCCTAACCGCTAGACCATATGGGAGGCCATACACAGGATAGTACTATAAATACTTTAGAAGCCGTTACCGTGTCGGACACTCACAGATCCACATTGAATCATATTGTATTACATTACAGTGTAAACTAATTGCGGTGATTAATAGCTCTAAGCTGAAATATTTGACTACTGTTTAGGGACATGCATATAAATATCTAACTTTAATTACACTGATACAGACACCATCCTTTTTGTATAATTCATTCCATCGCCATATAATTTTACAACTTTTTAAATATTTTTTAACTAACATAACTTTGTCTGTTACGTGGCGAAAAGAGTACTCGCCGGACTACAATTCCCGGCATGTCGCGGGGGGAGGGGGGGGCTACAGTGGTCACGTGTCCTGACGTCAGGCGCATGCGCCTTGCAGACAGAAGTGGTAGTGTATTGCGTGCGTTCTGCGCCTGGTTCAACTTCCGTAGTCGTTCATGTGACCGGTCATGTGATTTGTAGAACATCCGGATCTTGGTATGTGTGAGATTGTGGGGGCTCTGATGTCTGGGGGTGAATCTGGTCTGATAATGGCGCCCAATACAATGAGGCAGGGCTGGGCTGGGCTGGGCTGGGCTGGGCTTTGCTTTGCTGATAGACTAATTTATTAGGTTTCAGTATTTAGCTGCAGTTTGCTCAATTACATCTTAGGGGGACATCATTTTATTGCAAGGATGTTAGAAAAAAGTGGTTGTTTTTTTGTCTCCCTGATCATATTAATTGGGATTTGAAATTGATGCAATAAAACATAGTTTGTAAAATGTGAAATGTACCCAACTGTACTGAGACCCAGGGGGTTGGTACAAGTAATATGTTAATTGTGGCTTGCTTTGCTGAATATAAATAACAGGAGTTTTATATTATTTTGAGTCAGTTGGTTATATTTTGTAATCGTATAATTACTTGTTAAGAAAAGGGGGCAGCAGATAATAGAAAAAATAGTGTCGGTACGTTACGGACTGCAAGTGCTGCCATAAATTTAAATGGGACCAGTCTGGGCGGTGTCTTTAATGCTCTTGCTTAGTTACCAGACTCTAAGTCGAAGTCATGGAATTGTTTTAATTACCGTATAAATATCTCATAACCAAATTTGTACTTTTTATTTTTATAGATAAGGCATATTTGTTTTGTTCCAAGTGCAGCCATGAAGAAGAAGGTAATGTTTCTTTTTTATATAAACAAAAAACTATTATCAGTTCTGTTTACCAATGCAGTAAAATAATAATAAAAAATAAAAAAAGTATATGAATATCCAACACCTTATATTAGGTCACCAGTGGAAAAACGTAAGAAGATCTATTAAGTACCTGTGAACTAAAATCTGTAGAGATCCTCCTAATCTTCAATATTCATCTACAGAAAACTAAACAAAACCTGCAGCTATAAAAAGCACACAGGGTGGTATTGTATCAACACCAGTAAATTTGGTCTTAAGATTGCACTCCCAAAATTAGGTGAATTTGAGCATATATCTCAAGTTGCAGGTAATTGGCATCATATATTTGTAGATCTTCTTTTGTTTTCTGTTTATAAATCTGTTCATTATGTATGAAATTTAAAGGAACATTCAACTGAAAAAAAACCAATTACTATGTATACCTTCAAAGAAAGCATGCATTTATTTTATGGGGATATAGGAAACACCATCTTGCAAAGCTGCAGATATGTTGTTTGCAGCCTTTGCAAGCACATTGAGGATCCTTCACACATGATTGCAGCTTTCCTATGTTTCTCAAAGCGCTGTAGTATGGCTCACTGGGAAAGGGGGTATCCAGGTGTGTGCACAGTACATCTGCTACTTAAAGGGACACTATAGTCAACAGAACTACAGCTTATTGAATATTTTCTGGTGAGTAGAATCATTACCTTCAGGCTTTTTGCTGCAAACACTTTCTTTTCAGAGAAAAAGCAGTGTTTACATTACAGCCTAGTGATAACTCACTGGTCACTTCTTAGATGGCTGTTAGAGATCCTTCCTGGGTCATGGCTGCCTAAAATGCATCCAAACATTCAGTGTCTCCTCACTCTGCATGCAGACACTGAATTTTCCTCATTGAGATTCATTGATTTAATTAATCTCTATAAGGGGAGATGCTGATTGGCCAGGGCTGTGTTTGAATCATGCTTGCTCTGCTCCTGATCTGCCTCCTTGTCAGTCTCAGCCAATCCTATGGGGAAGCATTGTGATTGGATCAGGCCACCACTTCTCATGATGCCAGCAGACTGCTTGTTTATCTGAGGCAAACAGCATGTAGAGCTACAGCTTCAGGCTTGAATACAAGTAAGATTTTGCTATATTTATGGAGGCATGAGGGGCCCAGAGGAGGCTAGATGGTGGTTTTAACGCTATAGGGTCAGGAATACGTATTTGTCTTCCTGACCCTATAGTGTTCCTTTAAATTGGCTGTGTGAAGTTAATAGAGGTGGGAGCAAGCCTCCTTGGCTGTCTAACAGTCAAGGCTGTGTTTATGCCCCCAGTTATAAAAGTGCAAATTAAACAAAGTAATTTTACTGCTAAATGACAGAAAATTAAGCAGGGATACTGCAGAGACTTGATCAACACACTCAAACTACTTAATTAAGGAAAAGTTGTTTTGGTGACTATAGTGTCCATTTAAAATATTTCTTCAGTGTATTATATAGTGCAGGTTTGTTAATTTTCTTGTGACAAAGGGTTTTGGTTGGATTTCCTTATAAAAGTAATTCCTGGTTTAGGTACTCCATTATAGGGTATGCTGGTGGACGGTATTCCTTCAATTTTGTATGTGGGATTCACATTTTATTAGATGTAGGAATAAGACTGTTAGATTGACATTACTGTTGATGACATTGCTAGTATCCTAAAAGATAAATTAAACCTGTCATCATCAAATCACGGGGATGAAACATTAATCTTCAGGTAGTCACTAATTAATGTATACTGTGTGTTTTGGAAAATTTCCAACAAGCATACAGATGAAAAATATGCTTATGGTAATTGTGGTTTTTTTTGGCCTCCAAATGGCTAATAGCAGTGGATGTAGCAGAATAATATGCTACCTTCCACCCCCAGATCCTTTTTGTAGCATCCCAAGATATTTAGTGCGATCAGGTGTTAAGTAGAGCTGTCGCGAACTGTCCGCCGGCGAACAATAGCGTGTTCGCGTTAGGCGAACATATCCAATTTCCGGTCCGCCCCCTATACGTCATCATTGAGTAAACTTTGACCCGGAACCTCACAGCCAGCAGACACATTCCACCCAATCAGCAGCAGACCCTCCCTCCCAGGAAGTGTCTGCTGACTGTGAGATTCCGGGTCAAAGTTTACTCAATGATGACGTATAGGGGGCGGACCGGAAATCGGATATGTTCGCCCAGCGCGAACACGCTATTGTTCGCCGGCGGACAGTTCGCGACATCTCTAGTGTTAAGGTTTGTGTTATTATCCTGCATTGGCTTTTGAGCATGTTGTATCTATATGCAGCATCATATGAAGTTTAGAATTACAAGCTTTAGCACTATTTCAGCAGCATTCTGGTGTACATGTCCAATCAACTCCCTATAAAGAAAAAACATACATTGTTTATCATTACAAGTGATAATACCAAATTGACACTCAAACAAAAGACACTTACACATCATATTGTGTTTAAACAGGTGTTGTTAATGGGAAAAAGTGGATCTGGGAAGACCAGTATGAGATCCATAATCTTTGCAAACTACATTGCCAGAGATACGCGTCGGCTGGGAGCAACTAGTAAGAACATTCTTTGGCTATGTTATGCAGGTTAGTTTCAAGATTTTATACCAGTTTGCATTATAATGTTCTGTTCTCTAATATCTCTCTTACAGTTGATGTTGAGCATTCACATGTGCGATTTTTGGGGAATCTGGTGCTGAACTTATGGGATTGTGGTGGGTAAGTCTCTTTTGTTTTGTTTAATCACTTTCAGCACTTTCTAATGTATGTTCCAAAGGTGATATGTCACTATACCTAAATCACTGCATAATAGGTTTCATGGAGATTCTCTTCTGTTTAATTGGAACTGTCAATTATATCCACTGTAACCTTTTCACTTAATTCCTTCCTTTGACAGTCAGGACACATTCATGGAGAACTACTTCACTAGTCAACGTGATAACATCTTTCGCAATGTAGAGGTCTTGATCTATGTGTTTGATGTGGAGAGCAGGGAGCTGGAAAAGGACATGCACTACTATCAGTCCTGCTTGGAAGCCATCCTTCAAAACTCTCCTGATGCCAAAGTGTTTTGTCTTGTGCACAAAATGGATCTTGTGCAGGAGGATCAGCGGGATCTGGTTAGTTTACACAGGGATTAGGTGATTGCATGGAGTTTGGACACTGTCATAGCGTTTGGTGGTGGGGGTGAATAAGTCAATGTTATGTGCTGACTTTGCTTTATTGTTAACAGAAAAGGCAGTGTTTGCATTGTAGACACTGCATGGACATTAAACTAGTGGTTCTGCTGCTTAGTGTCCTCTTAAATCGGCATTTAATCCATTGGCAAATATTTTCATCCCCAAAAAATTTCTGACTTTTATGTTGACTTTAAAAAAAAAAAAAAAATTTATTTGTCAAACTGCATTGAATGACTTGGCAAAATCCAGGCAGATCACTCCACTTCAAAACCCTGATCTATTGTTCTACTCACTTTCACATATAATGCATATACGTTTTTGGAAGTGAACAGGAGTTGAGGACTTCATTCCCGTGGGTACTTACAGTCAAGGCAATAGCACAAAAAAAATGAAGGGATACATTTATATGGAATAACAATGGGTCCATTTTGGGCCTGGAGTTGGAGCTCCTTCAGCTCCTATGTTAATCCAGCCTGTTTATATTGTGTTCTACACATACATACACTTTTTATGCTTTTTTTTTCTAGATGTAAATGATTTTCTGATAAGCTCACTAAAACTTATATTGTAAGGATTAAAGCAAAAAAAAAAACTTCATTGTGATTACCGTTTCACATCATTAGAGCCAATTATTAAATAAGAGATGAGAATGTGGTCTGCAAATATATATCCGTCTCCACTACAAATACTGTATCATTTCATTCCCCATTTTATGTAAGTGAAGATGTTGTAATTGTATTAAATAGGGAATAAATCACTGTTAAGTTAGAAGCCTATAGTACTAATCAGGTAGGATTTTTAGATTAGGAAAAAAGCTAAAAATTGTGTAAGTGGTTCCATTTGATACTATCGCTGTCATAACCGCTGACTACTGCTTTTCTTAGTGAAGCCAGTAGATTTCACTGCAGTCAATGATTTAAAGCGAGGCTGGGAGGCCAACTGAAAGGTAACTGATATCTTTGCTAAAGAGTTACGTGACCCCTTATGTGACACAGCACTTAATGTGCATTTTGGTGTCAGGCTTGCCTGTGCATTCAAGACCACTGATTTCTTTTCACGTCATAGCAAATGTATTTTCGTAAGGGAGGTGACAACTTGTGTAATGTATAAAACAGGTGATAGTGGAAAATGTTTTGCCTTACCTATACTGACGTAGTTTGCCATTATTTTTGTTATACCTTTACAGATTTTTAAGGAGCGGGAGGATGATCTAAGGCGTCTATCCCGGCCTTTAGACTGTGCCTGCTTTAGGACATCTATTTGGGATGAGACATTGTATAAGGTAATTTTAACTGGCTGATTTTCAGTCAGATATATAACATTAATAAGAGTTTTAAAAAAGTAGTCCCTTCATATATATCTGTTTCTTTGCAGGCTTGGTCCAGCATAGTTTATCAGCTCATTCCAAATGTGCAGCAGCTAGAATCAAACCTGCGGAGCTTTGCTCAGATCATTGAGGCGGATGAAGTGCTCTTGTTTGAAAGAGCAACATTTCTGGTAAGAGTTGGTAACTTGACAGACTGGTCTTTTAATGCAAAACTGTATGGTTAATAACATTTTACTTGAAAGAGAAGAGAGATAACGTTTTGCTTGTTTCTGTGTCTGTTAGGTTATATCCCATTATCAGTGCAGGGAACAGAGGGATATCCACAGATTTGAAAAGATCAGCAATATCATTAAACAGTTCAAACTGAGCTGCAGGTAAGAGCTGTTGTTTGCAGAATCTAGTAAAGGTTGTCTCCATTTGCACTTTTAACACATATGTATCTATCTTTTTGCACAGTAAACTGGCTGCTTCATTCCAGAGTATGGAGGTTCGAAATTCCAACTTTGCTGCATTCATAGACATCTTCACATCCAACACTTATGTTATGGTTGTGATGTCTGATCCTTCTATCCGTGAGTCAAATCCCATTTTTGATTTTGAAATCTTTTTATGTAATAATAATTCATTTGATTTAATATATATATATATTTTTTTTATCTGTACTTTTTATCTCTTTCCCATCCGTTCTATTGTTCACTGTAACACGCGTGCTTTAATCCTCTTTTTCTTCCAACAGCTTCTGCTGCAACGCTCATCAATATCCGCAATGCCAGGAAACATTTTGAGAAGCTGGAACGTGTGGATGGTCCAAAACACAGCCTTCTGATGCGCTGATTCTTAATCCGTGGCTGGCCACTCTTCTTGCTAAGCCACCTTAATGGAACAGAACTTGTGTTATTTCAACCTCAATTCCAGCATCGTCTTGTGATGACTCTCCATGCGGAGTTGATCTCCACTACATCTTTCAGTTTCCATTCCTTGAACCTCCTTCAAATCTCTTGTCATAGCCTTGTTGTGGATATTTTCTACACATATCCCTTTCAGATTTCTTCAGCAGAGACTTTCCACCCAGGCTGGACCTTAATCTTGAGCACAGCACCTTAACACAGTGACAACTTACCCTTTTGTTACATCTTCATAACTAGTATACTCCCAAAATGAAGCTATCTCTATTCTTTGCTCCTGGTCCCCGAACTCTGTTAAAATGAACACGCTGATTTCACCATCTCAAGACATCAAGTTTATTTTAGTCTTCGTCTTATATTCCCTACTCACAATATATTGGGCAGTTAGTAATCTTGTGTTTACGTTTGGGTTGATTTGAATCATGCTGTGACTTCAAGCTCTTTTCCCTGAATAGAAGACATTACTGCTAATAACAATTCAAACACCAGACATTCAGTGTATTTTATGCTTTGGAATAAAGTATTTATGCTTAAAAATATATTTTGGTTATTGCTGTTTATTTATATATTTTTTTTGTTTTGTTAAATATTGAAAGTAAACTGACATAGTCCCGATCAATATTTGAAATATGTGATTTAAATATAGCAGTGAGAGCGTTCACTTCAGCTGCTTGTCACGTGTTTGTGTTATCGTCCCCATGTGTTCAAAAATAATCTGTTTTGAAAGTGTCACTGTTTTTGTTCTATGCTGAATTACAGAAGAACATTAGTTTTACACCAAATGCTAAAGAAAAAAATGTAATGTGTTTTCTGTGTAGGTTTTTAAATGTATTTATTCAAGGAGTTCAAACGAGGAACAATTGGGAAGCATTTCACTGATTCAGTGATGGAGATTAATCAGTGTTCTACTTTTGCTATAGGAACTGAGGACTGTTGTTTTTGCAGTTATAATAGTACTCTTACATAAGACAGTGTGCACTGCAGCAATCAGTTGATTAATAGTCATTACAGTATTAACCTAAGAAATGAGACCAGGAAGGTAACATCAAAACTGCACACGGTTGGGGGACTTAATTATTCAATTCAATTTGCAGGGTCTAAATTATTTGATATGGTGTTTTGGCTATTGCTACTCCATGGGAAATGGTATTGTTTGTGTATTATGTGATCTTATTTAGTTTGTGTACAACTAAATAATGGATCTTTCAAATCTAGGTCTGCGCTATGCATGGACTTCATGAGGTGTAAGTCTATGCTTGCTAGATCTAGAGCAGGTTTTTGAGGCTCCACTTTAGATGATCCAGTGATGAATAGACAAATTTGCAGCATGTGCAGTACTTCAGCAATTAGTGCCAAAATTCGCATCCAAGGCTATTTAAGCTGGATAAGGGTACAGGTCATCTTCAGCAGTAAAGTGTTCAAAGAAGCATGCAATGGTCTCTCAATGTATGAAATAGTAAACTACCATTCTCTAAAGGCTTTACAAACGTATTTCTTCTGTTAAATGTGTATATAGCTTTGGAACGGTTTTGTGTTTATTTACAGAAGGGGTAGATCCCCAGATGTTCCATTATGCTAAAGTTAAAAAGGAATTCCGAAGACTTGCAAAGCATCATGTTAGTTGTAGTTTTACAACATCTGGAGATCTACCTTTTGGGCACTTCTGATTTACAGAATGTCTATTCCAGTGTTGCAATCCCTGGCAGACAAGTCATTTTGTAGGAAAAGTATCAGCAAAATCTAAGCACTTAGTGTGCCAGGCAGGTGATGTAAACAATTTCTTCCAGATTGTTCTAGAATAAATTGATCCATAAGCTCAATGGAGTAAGCAGAATCCCTAAAAACGCAGGAATATCCTATTTTTATTTTTTTAAAAATTTTTTTAACACCCAACAAATTAAGAAGCGGAAAGGATGGCAGAGTCAAATTGTGAATCCTTAGATGATCTGACATTCAAGTTATAATGTCGGATAATCTTATTCTGTGATGATCAAGTAGAAGTCTTGCAGATCTGATTAGATGAAATGTGTTACAGCTGCCCAGAAGGTGGATAAAGCTATAGTGGAGTGCACTTTCAGATCTGTAGGAACCAGGACTCCTTTGACATCACAAGCTTTGCAAATTGCAGACACTATCCTTCTAGCAATAGTTGTGGTCGAAGCCTTTCCGTCCTTGTTATGACTACTTGGTAGAATGAAAAGCCTGAAAAGTTCCTTCAAGGCCTGGCTCTGTCTAAGTAAACCGACAAACACCTGACTGCATCCAAACTGTGGAGTAGACATTCTTCATCTGAGGTAGGAGACAGAAAATATACTGCGAAGACAATTTCTTGATTGAAATGGAGAGAGAACATCACCTTAGGTCTAAAATCCGGTACTGTTCGTATAATCACTCTATCCTGTTGGAAGGAGGTATAAGTATCTTCTGAAGACAGAACCCCCAATTCCAAAACTCTCATCCCCAAGGTAAGCGCTATCAACAAAATTATGTTAAGAGGAAGTAACATAATTAGAATCTTCGTGAGAGGTAAGTCAAATTTGGAGGTCAAATTTGTCGAAACAACCATCATGAACCTTGCCACATCAGAAGTGATAGCCGATCTAATGCCTTAAAGAGCTGACAAAGCAGATAGCTTAACGTTCAAGGTATCAAGGTGATTATCTTTATCAAGGCCCTCTTGTAGAAAATCTGGCAAAAACGACCGGTAGATATGATTCCCCCCACTCCAGGAGGGACACTGATCTATCCAATCAGTGTCTTATCCCTAGGAATGCTAGAAAAGTGCATTGGGAAAGCCTGACAGTCACACGTGCATTTGAAAGACCTTTTCATCTTGCAACAACTAATAGGATGGAGAAGAGAGGGAATTTGATTCACTGCACATCATTGCCCAGCTTGTGCTCAGTGGCCAGCCCCCATTATTTTTCTTTTCTTTTTTTTATTATAATGAGAATTTTATGTTTGTCACATCAAATGAATGCCCTTTTTGTCCTCTTAAATGTATATGTTGGTACAATAAATGTAGGAGATACAAATTGCAGTTGAACACAAACCGCAAAAATTGCTTGTGTCAAGTGTATGTCAAGCTTCTGAAGCTGCGTCCTTAAGGGGTTAAAAGTGTTTGCTTGCTGGTTTAAAAATTAAAAAAATATGTCAAGTGATGCGTGTCCTTTTAAATTGGATGTAACACTTGAACAGATACTTCATGGATGTTACATTATTCCACTTGGTCTGGATTCCATGGAAAAATATTTTCCTGAGTCAGGAGTATGCAACCTTTTGGTAACACTATACTGAAATAAAGTTTTGAAGTCTGACCCTTATTTTGTTTAAGGTAACATTTACATATGCCGGCATGCAGGATTAAGTATGTGTTGCTGTTAGTAGTGTTGTGTGGGTCAGTGGTGGATCTAATGTAGAGTGAGTCTCAGGGGCGTACCTGGAGCATTTGGCATCCTTCCCCCTTCTCCCTCCCCCCCCCCCCAATTTTAAAATGTAAAAAATACCCATACATTTTTTAAACCAACCAATCAGAGTGCTCTGCGGAGCTCAGTCTGCGCGGTGCCCTCCATGGGTAAAGATGGATTACTTTTTCAGCATCTGGGTTTTTTGTTTGGCTGATTTTTTTTTTGCGCTCAGGTTTTTAAGTTTGACTGGTATTTCAAAGTTTGACTGGTATTATGTTTTTTTATTTGGCCTTTTTTGGGGATGAAAATTGGGGGACAATAGGTCCCACCCTCACTGGTATTTAGGGCCCCCACCCGCCGCTCAGGGGTGCGGGCCAGGGGGAGGACAATAGGTCCCCCCCCCTTATTCTACTTTAGGTCCCCCACCTGCCGCTCAGGGGTGGGGGCCAGAGGGGAGGACAATAGGTCCCCCCCCTTCCCCTTTGAAGTAATTTAGGGCCCCCACCCACCACTCAGGACATTTCAGCTTCGGAAATTCAGCTATTCGGACATAGGGAAGTATCCGAATGTCCGAATTGCCCGAAATTCATCCGAATTAACATTTGGAACGAAACGAATTGCACATGTCTACGTACCAGCAGCCTTCAAATGCAAGGGCTCAACCTGCAGGGGAAGTAGCTGTTAGGCCAAAGACCCAACTATTGTTTAAGTCTACCATGTACCCTGCGACCCCATAGATCTGATCCTGTACACAGAGTATCCTTTTATCTTATTCCTTTATACAGAGTGTCCCAGAGGCCTGTAAACAGAGTGTTTTTGAGGAATGCATCCCGAGTATTAGTAGATTAGTCTGTTCTGATTTATTTCCCTAATGTTTCTCCTTTTTGTTATTCTATTTTATTTTGTTATGTTGTTGTAGCATTATTTGTTTTCTTTGCCATTGTGTCATTAAAGGACAACTGTCACCTCAAAACTTTTTAATATAATAACCCTTACATCAATTTTTAAAAGGAAATAATATTTTTTGTTAAATTTAGTATATGTAAGTAAATGACAAAAACTCATCCCTTACCTTCAACCATAAACTCACACCTCGGGTCAGATAGTTAGTCTCCATGGTCTTCCCTGTTTTTGTGCACATAGTGAAGCAGGAAAGACCACGGAGACTAACTCTCGGTTTTGAAACATTGTTGGACACAGGGCAAATGTATATGAAGGCTCTTATCCTATGACCTCCCAGCGTAACATTTATTTCACAAACCTATCCTTCACTCTCTCTTAAAGGGTTACACTCCACTCCCACCTTCCAATTCTGCTCCTCTACCATCGTGTCACTTGGTTGCTATCCCGCACACTGCCTTTCCTATTTTGTGTTTATATCCCATGTCCTCTAGATTGCATTTTGACTCAGTCTCCTCATAAATACTGGGACACTTTATGTATAGTATGAATGAAAGGTACATTTTCCTTTGTCTGTTTGTAATTCCCTTTGGCCTATTGAAAATACAGCTGAAATATTTTGGAATACTACTGCCCTCGGAAAATGGATATTTGTTCTTCTTTGAAAATTAGAATTACGTTTAATAACGAGGACATGTTATCACGAAAATTCGATATGCTAACATTGTTAAAAAAATTATGCAATAAAAAAAAAAAACTCGTTAAAAGGATTATTGAATAAAAAAACTCTTTTGAGTTGACAGTTGTTCCCTAAAGGGGAGTCGTCATTTATTGGGAAAAAACACCATACCAGGCTACAATGTTACACGTGTGGTGGTTTTTGAAATTACACCATTCACTAAAACTTTAAAAATCACCTATAACTTACTTTAACCTTTTCCATGTGATACTCAGTACTAAATTTATAGGAAAGATTCTTCAAATGACAACACAATCCAGTTGAGACAAGGGAAAGATGGGGAATTAAGATTTTTTTTGTTTGTTTAACCCCTTCCAAACTTCTGGAATAAAAGGGAATCATGACATGTCACACATGTCATGTGTCCTTAAGGGGTTAAAAAGACGAGAAAGAGCCACATTGTGGGAGATTTCTCTAAGTGTTCTGTTGTAAAATGTAAAGGGAAGGAGTCACTAACGGAATGTCCCTGCAAGCCCCAATGGTTTCCGTGGTGAT